TATATATAAAACAACTGTATCAGACAAGGCCACCATAAAAAAAATACTGCCAGCTCCTGCCTAAAACTGTCTGTCTGCGAGTCAACCACCAACATTTCACGCTACTGACCCAGATAATCCCGCGGCGGTAGAATCGTTTTAGTTAGTTTTAGTAGAGGTTTTACGGCGTTCGCAACTGCATAAGGTCATACGAGCGCCAGAAGATCAGAGGTGTTACGAGAGAGTAACAAACATAAAGCCGACGAGACATAATCCTCTTAGAATCGTAATAGGCAGCGGGTGGTTTGGGAGGAGGGGGGAGAGAAGGGGGAGGAGGCTTTTAGTTTTAGTGAAAGTTTTACGGCACTTGCAACACAATGTCATATAAATGCTGAAGATTAGAGGTGTTACAAGAGAGTGTCAAACACAAAAAAAGGAGGAGGAGAGATCCGGATGATAAATGTTTGATAGGAAAGAAGAAGCAAACCATACCAGAGCACCCGCCAACCACCCATGTGGGAGGAGGCAGGAGAAAAGAAAACACAAAAAACAAAAACAAAACAACGACAACAACAACAACAGAGTATAACGAAACAAAACAAAACTGAAACAAAAAAACAAAACACGGCTGGGATGTGACGTTACGGGGGTCAAGGCCCATTTAGCTTCAGCTCTAGTACAGGATTTACGGCACTTGCAACACAATCAATTCACAATATTATAAACTTTTTAAGTGCTGACGATTAGATGTGTATAATGACTCGTGTTGATAGAGCGTAGAGAGGGACGACAGATGTTTGACAGGAAAGGAGCGAACCTCGCCAGGCCAGAGCACCCGCCAGCCACCCACTGGGAATTTATGAACAGAACGAAGTGACGCTGAAACATGAGATACGAGACCTTTGATCACGGGACCATCTCATCTCGAATATCGCTTTCTTATATACACAAGAGCCCCAAAGTATTTGAATAATCGAGGTAAATCTGACACTGAGAATTCGCTGGGCGCTGATTTAATAAGTAACCTCAGAGTCTATCTAAATAAATCGCGATATCTATGTCTATACACACGGAATTTCGCTACGGCGAAAAAAAAGGAAAGGGGTGGCGGAGAGAGAGAGAGGGG